GACGAATCAGCATGGATTGGGAAAGATTAATCTACGCCATTATTGGATTTTGAGAGGTTGAGGACCAGCGGAACTCTAAGACAGAGAAGAAATTATCTGTCTGGCCCCCCCTCGAAGAAATGTGGAATGCTGCTGTCGCCATGACAACTCTGTCTCCCTATCCCGACCTGGGCGGGACTACGAGCTGTGAAGGCCACTGAATCATTCCAGGAGTGACTGTGCTCTGTAAACCCAACAACCTCCCACCCCTTTCCAGACTGACGTGAAGAGCGCTGCTTATCGCGGCTGCTGCTACTGACGTGTGGAGAGTCCCAAAACCCTACCACCCCACCTAGTGGACACTTATGTTATGTAACGTCTGAAGTCTGTTGCATTTCTGTCTGAGGTGTTTTTTGCATAGCAAAGCTGCCCTCTCTGTGGAGGGTAACTCTGAACCCTCTGATCTCTATTAAGGTAGAACGACTCAGGTTGCGAATGACCACTGTCACCAATTCTTGCCATGTGTCTATGCCTATGTATGTCCGATCTCAGAATTGTGTGTACTGAAACTCTAATTTCCCTCTGGGATTAATAAAGTATCTTTGAATTGAAGTTGAATATAGGAAACTTTTTACTGATTGGCTTAATGAACTGACCTGTATTGGAATGTTTACTGTGTGAAGGTCCTTGAGACAATTCTTGTCGTGATTTGGTGCTTTATAGGGTTGTCACGGTGTGAAAATTTAACCTCACGGTTATTGTGACCAAAATTATCACGGTTTTTGGTATTATCGCAGTATTTTTTAAACGTGTTACATTTTCAGACAACTACATAAACCCTGTATATCAGGAAAATATTGTCCACAGTTTGTGTCTAAATTTTGCCTAAAATGTGTTATTTTGTAATTATGTTGTTTATTTGTTTAAATTTTTCCCCTTTAGTCTTTAAAATACCAATATTTGCCCATAACTTCTTATTTTTTGTCTGTTTGATGTCATCATTTTAAAAATATTAGATCAGATGATACTCAGTACTCAAGTAGCCTTCTAATCAGATACTTTTTTTTACCCTTACTTGAGTAATAAACCCTATATCAGGAAAATATTGTCCTCGGTTTGTGTCCTTCCAGTGAGCTTTGCAGATGTGGGAAAATGTCATCAGGCAGTAATCATTGTTAAATTCATAATTATTCTCGGAGAGAGACCAACTCTTATCTTCCCCTGGGAGTCCCGTAATGCTTAGCGTCATTTCAACATGGGGGTGTCTGCGACACGGTTTACAGGTGCTGGCCAGTAAATTAGAATATCATCAAAAGGTTGAAAATATTTCAGTAATTCCATTCAAAACGTGAAACTTGTACATTATATTCATGCAATGCACACAGACCAATGTATTTCCAATGTTCATTACATTTAAATTTGATATTCATAAGTGACAACTAATGAAAACTCCAAATTTGGTATCTCAAAAAATTAGAATATTCTGAAAAGGCTGAATATAGAAGACACCTGCTGCCACTCTAATCAGCTGATTTACTCAAAACACCTGCAAAGGCCTTTAAAAGGTCCCTCAGTCTTGTTTTGAAGGCACCACAATCATGGGGAAGACTTCTGACTTAACAGCTGTCCAAAAGACAATCATTGACACCTTGCACAAGGAGGGCAAGACACAAAAGGTGATTGCTAAAGAAGCTGGCTGTTCGCAGAGCTCTGTGTCCAAGCACATTAACAGACAGGCGAAGGGACGGAAAAAATATGGTAGAAAAAAGTGTACAAGCTCTAGGGATAACCGCACCCTGCAGAGAATTGTGACGACAAACCCATTCAAAAATGTGGGGGAGATCCACAAAGAGTGGACTGCAGCTGGAGTCAGCGCTTCAAGAACCACCACGAGGAGACTCATGAAAGACATGGGATTCAGGTGTCGCATTCCGTGTGTCAAGCCACTCCTGAACAAGAAACAGCGCAAGAAGCGTCTCGCCTGGGCCAAGGACAAAAAGGACTGGACTGATGCTGAGTGGTCCAAAGTTATGTTTTCTGATGAAAGCAAGTTCTGCATTTCCTTTGGAAATCAAGGACCCAGAGTCTGGAGGAAGAGCGGAGAAGCACAGAATCCACGTTGCATGAGGTCCAGTGTAAAGTTTCCACCGTCAGTGATGGTGTGGGGTGCCATGTCATCTGCCGGTGTTGGCCCACTCTGTTTCCTGAGGTCCAGGGTCAATGCAGCCGTCTACCAGGAAGTTTTAGAGCACTTCATGCTTCCTGCTGCTGACCAACTTTATGGGGATGCAGACTTCACCTTTCAACAGGACTTGGCACCTGCACACAGTGCCAAAACCACCAGCACCTGGTTCAAGGACCATGGTATCCCTGTCCTTGATTGGCCAGCAAACTCGCCTGACCTTAACCCCATAGAAAATCTATGGGGTATTGTGAAGCGGAGGATGCAATACGCTAGACCCAACAATGCAGAGGAGCTGAAGACGACTATCAGAGCAACCTGGGCTCTCATAATACCTGAGCAGTGCCACAGACTGATCGAGTCCATGCCACGCCGCATTACTGCAGTTATTGAGGCAAAAGGAGCCCCGACTAAGTATTGAGTGCTATACATGCACATTCTTTTCATGTTCATTCTTTTCAGTTGGCCAACATTAGAGAAACAAACATTTTTTCATTGGCCTTTAGAATATTCTAATTTTCTGAGATACCAGATTTGATGTTTTCATTGGTTGTCACCTATAAATATCAAAATTAAACGTAATAAACATCGGAAATACATTGGTCTGTGTGCATTGCACGAATATAATGTACAAGTTTCACGTTTTGAATGGAATTACTGAAATATTTTCAACCTTTTGATGATATTCTAATTTACTGGCCAGCACCTGTATATGCAGGTAGCGGCGCTGCGGCTGCTTTATATAGCGACTCGTTGCATTCTTCCTCGACCCAAATCCTCGGATCATGCATTTTAGCTAAAATGCTAACGCTAACTTGCCTTGCGTTGACTGTAGAGTTGTGGGTGATGGTCACGCAGATGTGTCATGAGATTTGAAGCGTTGCTGCCTTTCACAGACACTTTTTCTGCATGTGCTGCAAACAGGATTGCCGTCTTCTATCAACTGTCCCTCAGCATTCTTCAAATATCCAAAAAAATGCCCATACTTCCGACTTATGTTTATTTATTTAGCAGACGCTTTTATCCAAAGCGACTTACAATTTATAACCTATAGGGCATGTTGTGATCTGTGGGGGAAATCTGAGTACCCGGAGGAAACCCGCGCATGCATGGGGAGAACACGCAACTCCACGCAGAAAGGCCGCAGCCGAGCCGAGTTTCGAACCTACAGCCTTCGTGCTGCGAGGCAACAGTGCTAACCACTGTGCCACCACGCAGCCACTTTGTCTTCTTTGAAGGATAATAAATGTCCTGTGTGGCGCTGCCGTCTTCTCCTTTGGCCAATTTTTCAGCTTTAGCTTCAAGAAAGTTTTGGTTGTAAACAACAAAGTGTGCATGTGCCGCCGGCAGCCTCAGCAGATGATACGGTGGCTGCTAAGGGTCACCGCGCCTACACTGCAGCCACGGTAATCCACCAAGATAATATATTTTAAAAACAAGACGGTTATTTTTATTGTCACTTTTTTACCGGGGTTTACCGCTACACCAGTTACCGTGACAACCCTAGCGCTTTATAAATAAACTTGAATTGAATCTGTGAACATAATCTAAACTGGATTATTGTTAACCCATACATAATAGATATGCCACCATTACATTTGTAGCAGTAGAAATTAAATGTTATTAGCATTTGCAGTAGCTTCTACTGAACACGTTAATGAATAAATAGTTTTACTGATCATAGTTTGATTATGGGTATGTTGAGATGGCATGTAGTCTTATTGAACTGTTTAATAATCATGTTTTGTTGTTAAATAAAGTAAAGAAATGAGAGAAAAAGTTTACCTAGCAGTTTAATAGTTATTTAGTTAAAGACATTAGTGGGATATGTGGGTCTTTTGAATCTGTAAAGCACTTTCAGTTACATTTTTGTATGAAAAGAGCTTTATAAATAAAGTTTGATTTGATTTAAATTTTCCTGTTTCATCTGATTAATCGAGTCGAGAACACCATCCTCATCGATGATCCCAATAATCGTTTGTTGCTGTCCTAGTTCTGAAGGTGTTTCTGATGAATCTGGTGTTTTGGTCGTTGACTTGGTTGCACTCTTTAAATACCCACAATGCACTGCAGCATCCTCTGTGCTGATCCAATCAGAGCTCAAGTTCACCTTCAGTCTGATCATCCTGAGGAGGACGAGGTCTTCCATGATCTCTGACTAAACGCGAGAGGAGCCCAGACTCGTGTGTGTGTGTGTGTGTGTGTGTGTGTGTGTGTGTGTGTGTGTGTGTGTGTGTGTCGGCATGCACGCACCCACACCCACACACACACAACTCTATGCTGGATCCTGGTTCTGATGTTTTTGTTCTGCTTAACTGAAGACAGAACTGCTAAAGGACTGGATTAAAACCCAACAGAACCTCTGATTCTGGTCCAATACGACTTCCAAGTTCTGGTTTCTGTAACACCCAGGTCCACCTGGTCCAGGTTCTAACCTGGACACAGGGCTGCCAAGCACGTCAGTCAGAACCGGGTCTGAGTCAGAACCGGGTCAGGTTGAGAACTGGGTCAGAACCGGGTCAGAGTCAGAACCAGAATCCAGAGTGCAGATCCATTACCAGCTGGCCCATCCCAGTATAACCTGTCCAACCAGCTCTGCCGGTGACAGGTTTCGGTGGGTCAGCCCAGAACCAGAACCTGAACCAGAACCCAACGCTTTATGAGGACTTTAAACATTTTTTTCGCTTTTCTAAACCGAGAACGTCATTCACGTTTTGAACTTTTCTTCTGTAAACGGTTTCTGTTTAACTTCCGGGTGATTTTCACCGCACCGGTTCGGTTCAGTCCCGTCTGACACGAGTCCAACGGTCACGTTCACCTGTCCCGGTCCGGTTCTTACCTCCTGAACGGCTTCATGCTCCCCTCCACCGGGCCCTGCTGGCAGCCGGCTGCGGGTCGCTGCTTCAGCTCCGTGTCGCTGTCCTTCTCCGCGGTCGGAGAGCTCCGCCTCCTCATCACTGGGAACCGGGACAGAGCTGGTGAAACGGAAGTAAAAGAGCCGTCAGCACGGTCTGTGAGCCGAGGGGGGCTGACGGGTGTTGGTGCACCAAGCGCCGGGAGGACAAGCTCCGAGTACCCTCTGGGCTGAGCTGACATCCGCAGAGAGCAGCTGATCAGACGCCAGGCTGCCACGTCCAATCACAGGGCAGTTAACAACCACGTGGTACAACGTATTGCATCTATCGTCCCCGGGGAACCGTCGGAGCAACGGCTTCCAAAACAAACCTGGTTTTGACTGAAACAAACGTGGCGCCTTCAAGTGAAGCTCGGAAACTTCATGGTTATTGAAATATAAGAACACGAAAACAAGTAAGAGCCGAAAAACAAACAAACGTGCCTATTCTGTGCGAAATGCACATTGAAAAAAAACACAAATGAAACATGTAAACCAGGAATTTCCCAGATGTGGCCCGTGAGACGTTTGGTGGCCCTGAGGAATTGTGCGTAGTGACTGCATTCCCAGAACGGTTCAGTTTGGTCCAGCAGCACAGATGCAGATGCTTTAACATGTATATGTTCAGACTAAAGTTAGGCCTAACAAGACTGCTGCTTTGTTTTACAAACAACCTGGAAACGGACTTGTGAGCTCCGATAAACATGACTAGATCTGGAAAACAGGGACACTCGTTATTTATCAGACCCAGAAACTAGAAAACAATCCACCCATCAGATCCATTCTGTCATTGAACGAACATAACCAGAGCCTTTTATATCTCACAGCTATGCACATTCATTTTCAATAAAAAAAATTGTTTAAATTCAAACACAAGTATCATGTTTCAAAAACAGTTTTGTGGCCTGCGTCTTAGGAGAGTTTGGGTTAGGGTAATTGTTTTCCATTCAGATGTTGTTGAATTCCTTAACCTCACAAGCTTCGTTATGACAGGTTAAATCCACCGCATAAACAAACCCTAACTGATACAGAACCCCATTCTAAAACTGATGCTTACAGAGTTTTCACTGATTCGTATATTATCCGAGACATTAAAAAACTGAATGAAACTACAACATCTGTCCTTAGTCGAGGGGGTATTCCAGACAGCAAGCTAATCCCAAAACCAGGGTTTACTGTGAGATTCCCGGTGCAGCCTCCCCTATTATTATTGCAGTCATATCTATATGTGCACATGTCTACAATATATATCTTATTATTACCATAGATATTATATATAGTATTAGCTAGATCCCTCACCCGCACTTTTGTCAATGGACCAAGCCCCCACAATGCGGCTCAAAAATTGAGCCCAACCGGAAGTACCAAAAATTGCAGTTCCACCCTCATCCGCTGGGGGCTGGTGTCAGAAGCGAGCAAATCCTCATTGACTCCCATGTTAAAAATACCAATTTCACAGCAGAAATAAACATGTTTACAGCCTGGTACCAAAACATGTTTTTGGTTTAAATGATCTAGTTTACACTCATGACAACTCTGAGGGGGGTGAATTTTTTCTCACTCTTCTGTTTAAGTGTATTAAAAGCCTAAAATTCTGTATAATTAATGAGCATCAGACCCACGTGACCACAGAGCTAGCTCCGTGGAAAGGTCTCAGTAGAGCCTCGGTCTGGCTTGGAAACTGTTCTGGGATTTTGAGTCTCTGTGTGTGTGTATTATTTTTTGGATATTATTTGTGCAATTGTTGGACAAAATGACTTGCTGTGGCATTAATTGCACTAATAGAGCATCCAAGGAGTCTCCACTTCATTTTTTTCGGTAAGTAAAATTATATTTATGTATTTTAGGTCACTGCCGAGCTGAGCTTAGATTTTAACATGTACTGTTTAACCATGATATTTAAATGTAATAGGGTAAAACCCAGTGCATTTAACATAATGCTGCACTTTAGAAAATGGGTTGAAATATAACATGTTGGTGGAGCTGGGTTCCAACTATCGGCTTGTGGAGCTCTCGGGAGACCGATGTTTTCCACCCGTTCTCGCCTCCCCACAGCTCGGCGCATCTCTGTCTGATCGCGGCTTCTGTCTGCTGTGCGGGATGCCGGCTTTCAGCAGCTTTCGGGAGACCTCTGTGTTCCACCCTGTTTTACCCAACTGTCAGACCAGCGTATCTCTGACTCAGAAGCTCTGGTGTTGTGCACAGTTAACTCCGGTTGTAGCTAGGTTGCTACCTCCATTAGCTTAGCTCCCACCTCCACGTTAGCTTTGGGTTAGCTTGTAGCTAGTTCGACTGGGTGTCGTCAGTTGATCCCAGCCTTACAGCCACACCCTCAGCTCCTCCTCTCTTCCCTTTTGTGGAATTGTCTGGGCTTGACAGAACCTGTAACACGGTCAAAATGGCGGTGGTGGCCACCTCCCATTTTAGCACAAAAACGTGTTATTGGAGTCTATGGAAATGAATTGTCCAGTATATATGTCGATGCAATGGACCCAGACATCCGTATGCGGCGGCCATCATACTTCGGACACCTGCCCTCCTCTAACGCTGGTGTTTAGTGGTGGATGTGTAACCGGATTACAGGATACAATAAGATAATTAAAAGAAAAAATAAACAAATGGGCCAATAATTAGGTTCGGGGAGAATTGGAGGTTGTTTAAGAATGACTGGAGTCACGGGTATAGCATGAAACGGTTTATATACTAAATTTTAATAATAATGGGAAATATAACACATAAAGATAACACACAAAAACAGATGAAAACAATCGACAATAGTAAATTGGTCGGTATGAGATTTGATCATATGAGTCACAAGTCAGCCGGCGTCAAGTCAAATCCCCACGCTTGGGGTGAAAGTCAGAGTCCGGTGGTGCGATTTTTTCCTACCACACCGTTGAGATTGTTCACAGAAGAGAGCAGTCTGCTCTTCAGTTACTTGAGATGTCCTGGTTCGTTCAGTGGTTAAGGCTCGCCATCTCCCTCGTCAGGAAGAAATCCAGTTCTCGTTCCAAGTGAGTGATCATAGGAGTCGGGATCAAACCCAAGGAAAAAAAAAAACCCAGCCTGTAAACAACAGGACTGTTAGCAAGTTGGCATCGACCCTTCTCGTCACATCACAGCATAAAGTCTTACAGACTTAAACAAATGCTTCACTCTATTGGCATAGCCAATCATGTTTGGGTTCACAGTTCAACTAACATAACATCAATTTGATTGTCTATTAAAATAATTCTCAGTAGCTCTGGAAATATAATTACATATGACAACAATTGTTCAGCTCAATAGGCTCAGTTAGATTCTATTGCTCTACACTATTCGACAAGAAATACATTCATGACCACAAGGATACATTTAGTTGTGTTTCTATACAGCATTGTGACACCTTGTATATCTGTAACACAATAAATAAATAAATAAATAAATAAACAAATAAATAAATAAATAAATAAAATTTTCTATAACAAAATTAAACAAAATATAAATTCTGGTCCTTTGGTCCACCTTTGTAAAATAATTCCTCCCTAATCAGTTAGCTTTTATTTATTTTTATTTATCTATTTTTTTTATTATTAAATGTTTGGTTAAGGGACGCATTGCTAATTCTATGGCGTTAGCTATAACGCCCCTGAGGACCTTGTACATCTAGGCCGTACCGCCATTAACTGGCGGTTTGAGCCGTTAACTCCTGGGAATCCCATATGCCGTACCGCCGTTAACTGGCGGTTTGAGCCGTTAACTCCTATATGCCCTACCACCGTTAACTGGTAGTTTGAGATGTTAACTCCTGGGATCTAACGTCTAGCAGCCCACTGCTGTCACCTCGGTTGCTGTAATTAGCTTTTTGAATTTAATAATTTACTGAATTTAATCTCATTCACTCACCAACGCGCTCCAACGGTTCCCTCCTACAGAGGATTGGTTCACTCTGTCGTCTCCACACAAATCTATAAGAATGGAATTAATTTGATAAGCTATTTAAGTTTCCTTTTTTTTTTTAAGTTGCATCGTTAGCTTTTTCTCTTCTTTTTTCTTTACTCACCGCGTTGGTTCCAAGTTCCTAGCTCTTATTAGAAGGAGTCAAGTCCGCCTCTCCCTCTATCTATGCGGCACCCAAATCAGGGTTCTTCACGGCCTCGACCGTTGTTTTTTTTTTCTCTCTCTCTCTCTCTCTCTAACCGCTCAGTCTTTGCTTTCTGTATCTGCGTGCTGCACAGCCGTTTGTCTCTCCTCTCGCTCAGCTGCGTCGCACGGTTTTATTTCGCGGAGGCGGGACTTATTTCTCTCAGCCAATGAAATTTCAGATTCCCACCTGGACCAATAGTATACAGCTTTCCTCTTCTGTTTCTGTTAGTGATGTTCAAGATTCTTGTTTTAACCGATGTTTAATATTAAACTCGTTATTTTAGTTATTCACCCTTCCAATAATTCATTATGAAATTATCTATTAGTTAATTAGATATCTATTAATTAGTATTGTTAATTTCCTTAATTTATATTTTATATTTTATCTAAATTGAGGATGGATCATATTAGTAAGCCAATCAGTTAATACCTCATTAAGGTTCTAGCTTCTGGGTTACATCCTCCCCCATTAAATATCATGCACGTCCCTGTGCATTGTTTCTACGGGGTACACAACTTCTTGAGTAAGAGAGTCAATAAAAGCTTTATTAAGTCCTTGGAAAAGGGACCTAACTACGGTCACTAGTGGATTGCCCAATTGAGAGTAAGTTAGTCTTTGAGGAGGCTGACTACTTCGTTCAGATCTCCTGACATACATCTCTGGTTGCACAGTATCATGCTCATCCGTTTCGGTTTGATTCTCAACTGAGACAGGACGAAGTGAGCTCTCTGTTTCCGACAGAGCTGATGAGCTATTCTCTAAGACTTTGGTCTTTTCAGATGTATGTGTCTGATCGTGTATGATGGGTTCAAAACTTACATCACGTTGCTGCGACTTTAGGACACCATCCAATTGAGGTAGGTTTGTGTTAGTTTCATCCCCCGTTTCTACGTCAGGTAAGTATACTCCGTTTTTTTTCGTTTTTTCAGGTAAGTATGTTGCTGCTTCTTTCACTCTTTCAGGTAAGAATGTCGCAGTTTCACTCATTCTGTCAGGTAAGAATGTTTCGGTGTTGATGCCTTTGTCAAGTAAGGACAATTCAGCATTTTCATTACCAGCTAAGGTTGGTTCCTTGCGATCCCCTGTGTGTAAGGATAGTGTGTTTTGTTGTTGAATATT